CGGGAGATGCTGGGAGGGCTGGAGCCCCTCTGCTGGGAGGACAGGCTGGGAGAGGTGGGGGGGTTCAGCCTGGAGAAGAGAAGGCCAAAAAGGGGAGCCCTCAGACCCCCTTCCAGTGCCTAAAGGGGCTCCGGGAGAGCTGGGGAGGGACTCTCGATCGGGGATGGAGCCACAGGATGAGGGGGAACGGTTTTAAACTGAAAGAGGGGAGATTTAGATGAGACATTAGGAAGAAATTCTTTGCTGTGAGGGTGGTGAGACACTGACCCAGGTTGCCCAGAGAGGTGAGAGATGCCCCATCCCTGGAAGCATTCCAGGCCAGGTTGGACGGGGCTTGGAGCAACCTAGTCTTAGTGGAAGGTGTCCCTGCTCATGGCAAGGGGGTTGGTCTGAGATGGCTTTTGAAGGTCCCTTCCAACCCAAACCTTTCTATGATTCTTTAAAAAAAAAAACACAAACCCAACAAAAAACAAAAGCCCAACCCAAAAAAAGGGCAACAAATTTTAGTATCTTGTTATATGAACCTTCTTCCCATCAGTATGTGTCCAGCAGTGAGGCTCTTCTCACCTACCTTTAGACACCTGGTCCACAGCAGGCAGCAAGGCTCCTCCAGTACATTGGAGGCTTCTTCCACTGCTGAGTCACCCCATGCCTAGAAGAAGGGACCGAGTTATCCCTGGATGCATCTGTCTCTCTTCATTGCTTATTGCATAGCTAACGCTAGGTAAAAGGAGTTCTGCTCTAATTTCTAACGGTATAATTAAGCTGTGAATAATAAACAAGAAACAAATTTTACCAGGTGCATCCAATTTCTTTATTCGATCAAGATATAAAAGCGGAGGAAGTAATTGTAATCTCGCAGGCGCTGGGTTTGCCGGGGGAGCTCCCTGATTTTTATGCAACCTGAGATATTAAATCAGGGACTCTGATTCAGTAATGCAAAACGTCTCCTTGCCTGAGCAGCGAGCGAGGAATAAAGACAACACGGTGTTGCTGTGGAAGTGATTGAGTTTGATGCTGAGTCAGATCTGGATTTATTACTCGTTTTCATTGAAGATCTAGAAGGATAGACAAGGAGTGCGTCGATTATGTTCACGCATGCAACAAAATACTGGAATATGACAAGCGTTCATCAAAGAGAGATAATCAAAATAATAGAAAGGCAAACAAATAGTAAAAAAAAAATGAAGAGAACTTAGTCTTGTAAGGGAATAATATGTGGTGGAGTCGCTAATGAGAAGGAAGGGTTTGAGGTTGCAATGGCTAAACGTCGCAATGAGCCTTCGCTGCGCATGAGAGAGGGGAGAGAAAAGAGGAATCAGGTTGGAGAAACCGGGGCTGTGAGCAGTTCTGCCTCTCACAAACAAGAGCAAATATTCTCCAGCGAGAACGGGCTTTTCTGGGAGGTAGCGGCACTCGCCAGATCCGGCTAATTTAGAAACATCCAAAAATATCCCGCTTTTCTTTTGCCTTGCAATGCCGAGTACATCACGGAGACGGTTCTGCGTCTGATATTTTTCAAAACGCAGGGAGTGTGAGCAGCGGCATCTCCTCCGTATTAAGGCAGATGAGATGTTTCATGTACTGTTTGCTGCTGCCGGTACTGTTGCAGATCAACTTTGCATTGTCGTGGGCAGTACGGAAACAAATAAAGAAGAGTCCCTGCACTGGAGAAACCAACTGGTTTCTAAAGCTGCTCATCCGGAGAGAGGAAAAAAAGAGGCAGAGCTGAGACTGGGCTCAGGTCCCGCAGCCAAGGATGCTCGCCTCCTTTTTTTGAGTGCTTTTTTTTCCCTTTTTATGACCCACAGAGCCTTCGTGAAGGACAATGATATTAAGGTGGGACTTTGCTACTGGTGGGACCCTCCTTTTTAGCTGTTGGTACTTTTGCTCTTTGGTAGCCTGTATTTAAAATACTATTTTCCTACTCGTGCTGATGAATGACTTGGCTGTGACCGACTTAAATCCTTAAATAGCAGCATGTACCTGTACTGAGGACGCTACAAAGTGCTGCACTTTGGGAATGTCTTTATTGAACGTAGACGTGACTGGACAGAGTCCAGTGGAGGAGCTGTCTCACCAGCGCTGCTTAAAATAGTCTGGGGCAAGTAGCGTTTGTACGACTTGGTGCTGTCGTTTCGTTGGATGTTTCTTTTCATATGAGTGGCTGATGCGTTGTTTTGAGATTCGTAGATGTTAAAGTCAGAGGTGGCTTCTTGTTAAAGATGCAGCCTGCCTCTTCCAGGGCGCTGATGTTGAACCGGTCTGCGCCGATCGTCTCCATCTTGGAAGCTTATATGGACAATATAGACTGTATGTAGGGACAATACATAGAGACAATATAGACAACAGCTGCCATTATAGAATCTTAGTGTTGAGGTTGGAAGGGACCTTTAAGATCATCAAGTCCGACCATTAACGTACCCTGACAAAACCACTTCTAAACCACGTCCCCAAGTACCACCTCTACCCCATTATGTCCACCTCTATACAGTATGTAGAATTTCCCCATATTGTTCCGGTGAAAGTTTTGGCCGGAATAAGCGATTTGCAGAAATACTTCTGTATATGTTTTGCTTGGTGATGTATGTCCCACCACTCCTAGACAGCGATTTTTGGCGAAGACTGAAGAAGTTGAAAAGAAAGCCTCATTTCTACTGTAGATGGATTCCAGCTCGTAGCTCTTTGCCTAGTAAAGTACTCTCTACAGCCAGAAGCCCTTTCCCCATTCAGATAACAATAGATAATAAGCACTACTTAACCCTACACTAGTTTAAATCAAGTTAATTTATTTGGTCTTTAAGATGTTTCAGGTCCCACATCATTCTTGTGGCTCTTTGCTGAACCAGTTCAAATGTGCGCACCACTGCGATGAGAACGATTTTGCCCTTCTGTTCTTGTTAATATCGTACAAAAATGGTTGAAACAATTTTGCTTTGACTTGATACATTCATACTTGTACATCGAAAAGGCTTTTTCTCTCATTTTCCCTAATGCATCGTGTTGCAAACTAGTCTTAAATTGGGTATTCGCCATCATCCTTTTTCAGCTCTTTCCTTCCAAATTCGGGGCCGCCTTCCTGTAAGTGTACTACTTAACCCTACGCTAGTTTAAATCAAGTTAATTTATTTGGTCTTTAAGATGTTTCAGGTCCCACATCATTCTCGTAGCTCTTTGCTGAACCAGTTCAAATGTGCGCACCACTGCGATGAGAACGATTTTGCCCTACTGTTCTTGTTAATATCATACAAAAATGGTTTAAAACAATTTTACTTGATATGTTCATACTTGTACACCGAAAAGGCTTTTTCTCTCATTTGCCCTAATGCATCGCGTTGCAAACTAGTCTTAAATTGGGTATTCGCCATCATCCTTTTTCGGCTCTTTCCTTCCAAATTTGGGGCTGCCTTCCTGTAAGCATAAACTTACTTCCCCGCTTTTCAGCCGCTCGGTAGCCCGGCTTAGCAGGCAGGCATTATTCCTCTGAAAGGAAAAGAAATCTTCATGTTCACATTAGGCAGTTGATGCCATCGCCAACTACGCACTTATTTTTCAACCTCTTGGCTCCTCAGTGGTTGAATTAGCATTTGCCGTCAGCTGGATGGAATAGCCGTTTGAACCATTGTTGGACAAGAGTATTGGAAATAAATATACAGATATGGAGAGGAAAACAGGCAGGAATTTGTCAGTAAATAGGTGCTAACATCCCGTCCAGCCGTGCAGATGCTGAGCGTTCACCGGTACCCACGCCACGTCACGGAGCTGGGAGCCCCATCCTTCGCAGGCAGGATGGATGGGATAACTCAAGCTGGTTTTCCTATGACTGTATCCAGTGAGAGCGTGAGGTGAAAGGAATTTTTAAGATGGAAAGAAAAAACCCACCTTGAGTCAGAACCGTTTGTTTTATTTGAGGCTGTGGGTGCCAGACCATCTCGTTAGTGCCTCGTGAGGTATCTTGGTAAGACCGTGTGTTAAATAGCTATTAGTCCCGTTTAAGAATTAACGTGTATTTCTCAGAACGGATATAACCAAGTTGAGTTGTGTAAAACCAGATATAGATTATAATATGTATGAGAAGCAGAGCCTTAATGTAAACCAGTTTTTTAAATAATATCTAAAGACAAAGTTTATTTTCTCTTTCCCCCTTTTTTCCTTGTGAAAAGGTGCCACTGAGAGGTGCCCCATACTCTGTTGTGTGTATAATATATATGTTCTGAAATGCACTTTAATCAAACACAAAGCCAGAGAAATTGCGGCGTCTTCTTGTTTATCTCTGACCGAGTTTATAACTGAATTCAAGTCGTGGGTCTGACGGCAGGGAGCCTGCTGACTGGCTCTTTAAAGGACTTACTAATAGGTCTATCAAAAATGAGAAGAGATGAACAGATGCATTTGGTTTTCCTCTCCCTAGGGGACCTCTGAAGTGCCACCTGGATTAGCTGCACAGTTGTGAGCAGATTATAAACTAGGAGTACAAGCTACACTCTTTTTCTTTCCGACAAGAGAAATATTTGATGTAACCTATTCTGACTTAGACGCTAATGGCAACATTTCCCATTTCTTTTTTGCTTTTCTTCCCTTGCAGTGCCCAGTGCGATGCCTCAGAACATCTCCTTGGAAGTGGTTAACTCCAGGGTAAGTCTGCCGCGCGCTCAGCACCTCCTGGCCAGCCATCACGGGTATTTGTGTAGGTTTTCCCTCTTTTCTGTGTGGCTTTTTCATATACAAACAGCCCCAACCTGCCCCTTGCAGAAGGTTCCATTCACCTGCCCGGGAGATATGTTAAAATAAGAACTGAAACCCCCCAGAAAACATTTCAGAGAGCAGCAGTGATTTTTCCAAAGGGGCTGCAGCGCCGGTGGTATCCCTGAACCTCAGGCGAACAAGCAAAAACTGTTCCCTGATTGCAGATTAACATCTGCAAGAAACGTAACTGGGCTTTGATTAAATGGAACAATCTTAGGGAATAATGAGAAGCAGAGCCGTTCCTGGGGGGAAAGAGGTGTGGGAAAGAAATGTTTTATTGGTAGCTTAAATGCAGCACGTGCAGGTAGGTTTGTTGCCTTCTTGCTTATTCCAACAAACCTATTTGTTTTCTGAAAGGTGCATTTCTTTCTCTTAAATCCAGTACTTTCTTCTTAAAAAGGTCTAATGTATCACCAATGAAGTGGTTGATATTATTTCATAACATAGCATCACACATAATAAGTGTTAATTATGCTTAATACTTGTTGAGTGCTATTTCTGCATATATTCTGAATTTTTTTTAGATCGTTTCTTTTCTTTTTATTCATTCCTGTAGTTTACTTGGCACTAAATAAGCTTTTATTTTGTGGCTGCTTTCAACGATAAGCCCGTTTGGGCACGGAAAAGCTCACGCTTCAGAGCGTGAAAGAAAGGCACAAAAAAAACCCCACCCGTAGCGTCTTTTTTTTTGTCCCGTTGCATCTTTGCAGATGTCCATTTGCGCAGCCACCAAGTGAGCCCAAAGCTCACTGACGCGGATAAACTGCAATTTAAGGAACATTTATATTACCCCTATTTACTGGGAACGCCGAGTACCTGTCGATTAGATCTTTCTCCTCCACCGCTTGTTTTCATGACATCAAACCTATAGTCTGATTTTTTTTTTTTTTTTTAAATTCACCCAGCTCCAGTTCCTTTTAAATTCCTCTTAGAAGTAGTGCCCAAAGGGCATTGGTGTCTCGGCACATCTTGTTCCGACCCTTCGCCTTTCCTTTTTCTTGCTTATTCTCAAGGTAAAATGTCACAGAGCGGCTGATCGCGTTTTGTGACCTTTTGTGGCGATCATTTACATTTAAAGTACTCAGAAAAAAAAAAAAACACAAAACAAACCAAAACCAGAAAACAAGCTGCAGGGGACAGTGCTGCTTGGGATGGCGTGCGGATGCTCCGAGTGAGATGTATTCTTGTGTTATTGGTGCTTAGAGATGGAGAGAGTTTATCCCGATGGGGTGAGAGAGGATGTGCTGTGCGTAATCTCCCCCTCTCCACCACCCGGAGAGGCTCCTGCTCACAGAGCGCTAAATGTTGGAAGTCTCGATGAGATAATAATTTGCGGATTTAAGTGCTGTATAGGACAAAGATGGATTTGCAGAGTAATCTGAGGGTTTGGCTGAGCTGGTAGGCAAAAGAAATGGGTCTCGGTCCTCCTCGGTGTGACCAAGTGGCAGTGGTGGAGGTGGCGGTGGAATGATTACTAAAAGTGATTGTTAATACATTCAACAAGGGCAAGTGTAGGGTGCTGCATCTGGGGAGGAATAACCCCATGCACCAGTACAGGTTGGGGGCTGACCTCTTGGAGAGCAGCTCTGTGGAGAGGGACCTGGGAGTCCTGGTGGACAACAGGATGACCATGAGCCAGCAATGTGCCCTGGCGGCCAAGAAGGCGAATGGCATCCTGGGGTGCATCAAGAAGAGTGTGGCCAGCAGGTCGAGGGAGGTCATCCTCCCCCTCTACTCTGCCCTGGTGAGGCCGCGTCTGGAGTACTGCATCCAGTTCTGGGCTCCCCAGTTCAAGAAGGACAGGGAACTGTCCTTTGCTGGAGAGGGTCCAGCAAAGGGCAACGAAGATGATTAGGGGATTGGAACATCTCTCCTATGGAGAAAGGCTTAGGGACTTGGGTCTCTTTAGTCTAGAGAAAAGAAGATCGAGGGGGGATCTTATTAATACTTACAAATACTTAATGGGAGGATGCCAGGGGGATGGGAGCAGTCTTTTTTCAGTGGTGCCCAGTGATAGGACGAGGGGTAATGGGCATAAACTTGAACATAGGAAGTTCCATCTTAACATGAGAAGGAACTTCTTTACTTTGAGGGTAGTGGAGCACTGGAACAGGCTGCCCAGAGAGGTGGTGGAGTCTCCCACTCTGGAGACATTCAAAACCCGCCTGGACGCTGTCCTGTGCAACGTGCTGTAGGTGACCCTGCTCTGGCAGGGGGGTTGGACTAGATGATCTCCAGAGGTCCCTTCCAACCCTAACCATTCTGTGATTCTGTGAAGATAAAAAATAGTATAAAAATAGCCTGAGAAAAGGGGGATGTGAGGGAAGACACCATGGTGGACTTCTGGGACCAGTCAAGGAGCTGAGCCTCTCTTCCCCCCAATAAGGATGCTTGTGGGTAAGATTCCAACACTTGGCTATACCAAGTGCTTCCCCGGGAAACTTAGAAATCTCTATAGAGTTGGTTTATAGCTCAGCGCATGTGTAACCGAGCTATATTACTGACATCTTTAGTAGTCGCACGTGCTTTGCAGACAGTCACTGTCACCGGCGATCCAAAAGAACTTGTGTATCTGTTGGTTAAATAAAGTGTA